GCCCCGGACGGCGAAGGCACATTTCTTCGGATTGAGCCTCATGCTGGCCCTTTCCATGATGCCGAAGACCTTTTCCATGTCCTGGACATGGTCCTCCTTTCTCTTGCTTTTTATCAGGATGTCATCCACGTAAGCTTCCATTGACTTTCCAAGTACGTCTTTGAACAACATCCCAATCATCCTCTGAAAAGTAGCCATGGCGTTCCTCAGGCCGAACGGCATGACAATGTAGCAATACACGCCGTCCGCCGTAACGAACGCCGTTTTTTTCGGCATCATCGGGGTGCATGAACACCTGATGGTAGCCCCTGAATGCGTCCATGAAGCTGAGCAGCTCGCAGCCTGCCGTTTCATCCACCAGCAGGTCGATCCTCGGGACCGGGTACGGGTCCATCGGACAAGCTTTGTTAAGGTCCGAGTAATCGACGCACATCCGCCAAGTGTCGCCCTTCGGGGCCAGTACCACGTTGGCCAACCACTCTACGTGGATGACCGGCCGGATGTGTTTAATGCTGAGGAGAGTTGCTGTCTCCTTCCTGATGAAGTCGCGTCGGTCGGCCGCCATGTACCTTTTCTTCTGTTGTACGGGCTTGGCGTCCGACCGTACGGCGAGTCTATGGCATATGAGGTCGGGGTCGATGCCCGGCATGTCCTCCGGTCCTCCGGCGAACAAGATGTTGAACCTTCGGAGGACGGCTATGACCCCTGCTCTGATTTCCGGCTCCAGATCTGCGCCGATGGACACCTTCCTGTCCGTCGGGTCGTCGAGCTCGATTTCCTCCAGCAGGGTTGCCGGTTCCAGGTGAGCATCCAAGTCGGCCTGTTTGGCCCTTTCGGAGATGCTGTTGACCCGAGCCTCCCGCTCGTTGAGCTTCTCCATCGCCTTCGTGTAGCAGGCCCTGGCCATATGCGGGTCCGTACGCGCCACTCCCACTCCAGTGTCGGTGGGGAATTTGATGCACGAGTGCCGTACGGAGCATATGGCCCCCAAATCTTCTAGGCCGGGTCGGCCCAAAATGGCGTTGTGGGCGCACTTCAGGCGGACTACGACGAACGTCATTCCGATCCGGGCGGTGTGGGGGCCGTCGCCGATCTCTACCGGCAAGACGATGGTGCCCTCAGCGTCAATGCAATCCCCAGTGAAGCCGGACAGCGGGGTGCGCAGTGGGTGCAGCATGTCCTTCCTGAGCTTCATTCCCTCGAAAGCCTCCCAGTAGAGGACGTTTACACTGCTCCCGGTATCCACAAGGACGCGGCGGACGATGGCATCGTTCACGTCCATGCTGATCACCAGCTCGTCCCTGTGCGGTGCCGGTGACATTGGCAGATCAGCGGTGCCGAAGGTAATCGCCTCGGTCTTATTGCGCTTGGTGGGGGGTGCTGATACGGAACCCACATACAGTGATCTCTCAAATTTCTTCCGTTCGGCGGGTGTATCTCCCGTCTCAGCGCCCCCGAAGATCACCTTGATCTCCAATTTCTTCTTCTTGCCCTTCGGGCCGAGGGATCCCTCCGGACGTTTATCTGCACTCCGATAATCCACGTCCTGAGGTTCTGCCTCGCGCCGATCGTCGCGGCGCCATGTCTTGTGCCTTGAGTTCGGCTTCTGCTGGCTGTTTTTGTTCAGCAACTGGGTGAACTCGCCCAGGTACCCCTGACGGATCAGCTCGTCGATCGCTTTCTTTAATTGGCTGCAATTATCCGTCAGGTGGCCGGCCCTCTGATGGTATTCACAGTAGGCCGATTGGTCGTGCCCCATATGCTTATTCATATCTTGGGGTTCCGTTAGGAGGCCCTTGTCCTTAATGGCCTCAAAGATTTGGCTCACTGGATAGGCCAAGGGAACATAGCGGTCGTCCGGCCGCGTCTGACTGTCTCCGAACGGAGCCTTCCAAGGGACCATTGCCCCGTCCACCTTTTTCTTTTTGTTTGGGGGGGAGGGCCCGGTTCCTGGTCCGGGTCCGAGCCTGTCCGCCATCTTCCGTGGGTGGGCCGCGGGAACTCCGTCCCGCTGCCTGATCTCCTCCTCGATGGAGGCATACTTTTGTGCCCGAGCCAAAACCTCGGTGTAGCTGGTGCCGGGATTCCTCCTCAGGTCCCGGTATAGATCCCCTGTGGCCAGCGCACTGGTGAACATGTTGGTGGCCAGACGTTCGTCCAGATCGTCGACCTGCAGGACCTCGTCCCTCCACCTTACCAGGAACCTAGCCAGCGGTTCGTCCCGCCCTTGTTTGATGTGGGCAAGAGCCGTGACGTCCTTCCTGGGGGTGGTGCTGGCAGCAAACTGCGCCATGAACTGCTGGGAGAGCTGTTCGTATGAGTCGATGGTGCCTGGCCTCAACTGCCCGAACCATTCTTGCGCCGGCCCCCTGAGGGTGCTGAAGAACAATCTGCAGATGGCCTCGTCTGACGCTCCCAGCATGGATAGGTTCCCTTGGTAGCTTATCAGATGGGCCTTGGGATCGCCAGCCCCATTGTACACCAAGTTGCCCGGGGGCCTGCAGTCCCGGGGAATCTCGACGCTCATCACCCGTGGAGTAAAGGGAGATGTGAGAGAGAAAGAGGGTGTAGCCGAGCCAACGTCCGCCCGCCTATTCATCTCGGCTATCTGCCTTTCCATGGCCTCCAACCTTGCATCCTGTGCGGCCCTTCCGGGGGACACAGGGGGCGCGGCTTCGGGGACGGCATTCTGCTGAGCGGCCACAGCACCGTGCGGCCGCCTAAAGATCTGCGCACCTCGCCGTTGGAAACGTCGTCCAACGGTGTTGATCCTCGGGGTCTCGTCTCCCCGCGGGATTTGGCGGGGGACTGATGGTGTGTGAGCCCTGGATGCAGCGATGCTGACTCTGGTTCGCCCTCCCGTTCCACGGGAGCCTGAACCCCCACCTAGCCGCTCATGGACTGAGGGCCGGTGGTCGCTGGATCCTGTCGTATCGTCATACGACTGCATGCGACGTATGGGAGAGAGGGGCGTTCGCTGGGTACTTGCAGAGTACACCTGGTTTTGGGCCTCCCTCTCGTCTGCCAAGCGACGCATGGTGTCTGCGAGTTCCCGCATGAGGCGAGGATCCTGCCTGGCCTCCAGAGGAATGAGGTCAGTGATACCCCCGTTTCCCCCGGAGGTCCATATTGTTGCGGATAGTTCCGAGTTCTGGCCGCGATTCCGGCGGCTTGATTCCAGACGCTCGGAGAGATCACGCTGGTTGTTGCTTCCTGACATCGTGTTTGCTGTAGGTAGACTTAGTAGCTGCTTGGGAGAGTTTCTGGAAACTTTTTGCTCAGTTTCCCACAGACGGCGCCAGTGTTGAGGTTTATTCCTTCAACCCGTGGACCCAACACGTAAGCCCAAAGGTTTCGAGTGGAGTGAGTGTATGAATGTCTAGCCCAACAACTATTAGATGAATCAGGAGACAACAGTGATAGCAGGCAATGTAAATAGGTATTATTAACTCCGTAATAACTCCCCTAAGTACAATCTACTTGCTAAACAAGGCACGTCGGCCGTTCGTCTTACAGGGCAGTTAGAAATGCTGCAAGTAAGAATGCTGAAGCTAGTATGCTAAGGATAGAAAGTTGCCAACCCTTTACAATGAAATAAATGCTCCTATTTATACCCGCCAATGGGCAGGTGGCTGTAGTGACGTGGCAGCCTGTGGACCGCTGGTGTCTCAACTACCAAATCTTTAGCATTAAATGCACTTCCCGCCAGAATCTAGGTTTCCCGCCGGATCAGTGGGGACGTTCGTCCACCGGGGAGTGAGTTGGATTGCTCCCAGGGACCCTTGAGAGATATCGGCTGTTCGTCTCCTGGCCTTGACAGATACTCACCATGCGGACTGGGTTTTCTCCGATGACTACAGGCTTGCTCTGGGGACGTTCGTCGCCATCCCTGGTGGCCCGTGGTTCTGCTCCTTGTCCCTGCATAGACGTTCGTCGGGATGAGCTGCTGGCCTGAGTCCTCCAACACTAGACGTTCGTCCATCCCCGAGGAACATGGGCCCGTGGGCTGGCCTAGTGTTCTAACTGGACGTTCGCCTAGCAAAATGGGTTAGTGGGCCGGACCTCGGCTTGGGCCCTTAACCCAACAGACTTAATTCCTTAAATATCAGTAAAACATGGATAAATTGCACAAATAGGACTACCATGTTTCCTTCCTAAATAAGGATCACTAATGCTATAATATTATTTATTTAGATAGAAGAGAGTTTATCAGTTTATTTAATTGTTTTGAGGATTTTTTTGAACGATTATTATTATTATGCATGTTAGTTTAGACCAAAAACGTTTTACAATTTTTCTAAAAGCAGGCCCATTTTATTTCTTCGCCCCTAGGCCCTCAAACATACGGGGCCGGTCTTGCTGATCTTTGTCAGCACTCAAAATATTCTTAATAAATAAAATTTACATATTTAGAAATGAAAATAAAAGATTAATAGTGATTTATGTTGACCAAATGAGTATATTTTTACTTGGAGTGAAATTTTCTGGTCCGATCTAATTTGATCTGATCTGATCTGGTCTAAAATAGTCTTTTGGTCTAGAACTAAAAACAGTCCATATTAAACAGAACTATCGAATTGTGACAGGAGGTAGTACATAACTACGTATTATTAGAATCTTTTTTTATAATCACCGTACAAAGTACACACTTGATGAAATATACCACGTTTGAACTTTGAAGTCATCGGATACAAAGTCAATATCCAAAAGCAACATGCTGGTGTTGTGATCTGCCAGAACAAACCAAATTTGATCATATGATATTTCGTTACAAATGCTTGTAGATATCTGCAAGTTCCTATCCTAATAGTCTAATACCTTGTTTAAATTTCAAATTAGAAATTCTATGAACAAAATTTTAAGTGAGCATCACACATTCACACAATGCATCTTGTTGCATATGCTGTCGGTTATGCCCTCCAGTTAGTAAGACCAATACCAACAAACACTCAACAATATTTTAACCACAATCCACATACAACATATTGAGACCTCGAAATAATAAAAGATGTTTCTTGTGTTGATTTTTAGGTAACACGTCCTACGTGGATTATTATGTGCCACTACAAACACAGTCTTGTAACAAATTCACAACAACTGAACAGAAAAAATGTATACGTAACACTACCACAAGCATCTTAATAATATCACCTGAGATGAGCATAGCACATTGCGATGGAAAAATAAAACAAATTAAAAGAACTATAAATCTAGGAAAAACATTGCATAAGTTGAAATACTGTGACTCTGTGAGGGTGTGATACACAGTCGTCTGCCAGTCTACAATGCCGGAGTGGAAACTGACTCCTTTTCCTCAGCCTCCTCTAGCCACTTCACGAAGGGCTCCAGCGACTTCACAAATGATTGTCTCCCAATAACAATAATTGATTTTAAATACTCAAGTAAATATGTCCACAAAAACAGTAGAGAAGAGTACGGCTACGAAAATAGGGAATTAAAGGTTCACAACTTTACCTGCCCTTGGGAGTTGTTCTTTTGCATGCGGAACCAAGGAAGGATGGTGTCTTCAGCAAGGATATCCTGGTCATAAAGTAACCTTATGTTTTCAGGGAACAATTTCATCAGCTTAGCGTCCTCATAGCACTGCACTTGGACTTTGTATATCAGTTCCAGCTTCACGCTTGCGCAAAATGCATTCAACAACTTAGCCCATGTTTTCACCTATAAAAAAAATGAAGTAGAGCCCGAAATATATAAAAACATATGAGGACTTGAAGAAGATAAATCAAATTGGGTAGATGAAAAAGTACCACATGACCAAAGTTATAAACAGAAACATTACACCAAATTCAACATTTCCACTACACATAACTCATATGCACAACCATGGCACAAGACATCGTTAGTGCAAAGCTAGTGACAATAGCAGTTTATGTGATAGCATATTATATTCCACTGCCACGGTGCCACCACACGTGTCATGATAGTAGCTACTGTCTGTTGCCACCGCCCACCAGAAACAATGGCTACTACTGTCCAGCGCCGACAAAGGCTTCCACTGTCCGGCGTCATAGCCTATGGCAGTTGCTATTGTCCCATGCAGCCTCAGACAGTAGCTACTATGTCCTAAATATGAAATGCTTTAAAATATGATAAATCAGGACTAAATATCAAAGTCTAAGTATCAACTTATAAACAAAAGGTATTTCTTTGTACAGACATTTTAAAATTATTTACATGAAAGAATTGATCTTTCACTAAGTACTACCTTAAGACTTAAGGATATGTTTGGAATTTGGATGACAGAAAATGATAGGGAAAGGACAGAACAGCCAAGGAAGATTGATTTCTTTTCTTCCATACTTGCCCCATATTCTCCCCGTTTTCTTTCTCTGTCATTTTCCAAAATCCAAACCGATCACTAAGTGACTCAATGATCACAAAAGGGAGATAATAACAAAAACGAAAAAATGCAGTGGTAAAGAACACAGGTTCATCAACTTAGTGAACTTGTGTCATTGATGAAAGTGTGTTCTTTACCTCCTAAAAAGTATCTACACATTAGCATGAGTCATTGATGAACATAAAAAAAAAGTAATTAAATACTTACAGAATCTGAGGTTGATTTCTTGTCAAAATTAATGGCCCTCAAAACACCAGACTTCACTGGTTGTTCTACTTCCAACTCATGCTCCATCTTAAGGGTGTAGATTTTGCTCTGGAAAGGAAATCAGGAAACAGTTAACCAAATATGGAGTAACATACATTGAATCTCATAAAATTAGTCTAAAATAATCACAAAAAAGGATTAACAAAATACTCCGACTCTTCTAGCAAAAGTCATCACGAACTATTTATTCTCAGGCCCCCAACATTCATTATTTATTTAGCTAATAGTTTCCAAGTACCAAATTATAAACAAAAGGTATTTCTTTGGACATGTATTTCAAAATTATTTACATGAATCCATTGGCCTATGTATCAGAACATTACACCATTGAATCAACTGCATTATGGAGTCCCAATCATTTGGCGCCATTGAATTAACTTTATCATACCCAATTAAAACCTTCAACACACAAACACAGACAATATGTCATTTTTTGACTAATCTTATATTATTGTTTATATTTTCAAATTTTCAATAATCTGGGATAACATAATTACTACATAAGCGGCTTTCACTAAAAAAGGAATTTCAATTTTTGTGCTAGTTTCAGTGTTCATCCTATCCAATATAATATACAGATTGAACAGCTATGAAAAATTACATGTTTATATTCATGTATAAAATATATCAACATGTAAACTTATGCTAATAATTCCAGTAAATATAGAATACCTTAACTCACCCAAACATTGATGTCTTTTATATCGGCTGCAGCTCCTTCTAGTGTTAAACCAAACCCCATTGGGAACTTGTTTAGCTACAAAATATTTGGAAAAGGAATTAGTATTTTCTCATCAGAATGAATTTCTTAGATTTATAGTTGAAACCATAGGGATATACACCCTAATTAACTTTGGCCCCTGAAGTCTGAAGATGTTTGAAAAGGTAAAAAAAATGGTAGGGAAAGTTACTTCTTATGTTTAGTTTGATTTTCGGAAAAGAAGCCAACCCAAAGCAAGCTTCAATGTTTGATCAGAACACAAGATAGATTGCTAATCTTTCTCCATCATACTCACTTATTGTAACCACTTTCAGCGCACAGGAAAATACATTGATATACTTCCTCCCTCGCACATAGCTATATAAGAGTGAACAAACATTGATCGCTAATCTTTCTCCCAACTGTTCACCTACGTTTGCCTCTTTCAGTAAACATGAAAAGATCTTGAAATAATTTTTAGAAGGCTACAAAAAACGTATCCATTGTTATCCATTTCTAAAGAAAAAAAATAATTATACACATTATGACATCTACATTCATGTATAAACTTAAGTGCAGTACCGATATAAATTAAAAGAAAGTCAATTTCGAGCTGAATTATTAACTCCAGTGTAATGCCAATATAAATTGAAAAATGTAAGATTTAAGCCACCAAAACAAACTCTAAATCACCTTTTAGGAGAGTGTTGATTCCGGAGAGGTTTCTTTTTATGATTTAAGTAACACATTCATGTCCTTACTGTACATATAGGAAACTTCAAAGAAAGAAACGCGAGTGATAGATAAGGACACTTTTATCATCAATATTGCACACATGTATACATAAAGCCAAAATTGAATAACTAATCTATATATAGAAATACATTCAGCGGCTGAAATGAAATACCAAGAGTATCAAATCAAGATCATTCCATCATTGGTAAAAACACCAAACAGAGAAGGGGGTAAAAACTATCATTCCAGTGCCGAAAAATTTAAAAGAAACTGACCCAATCTGGAGAGAGTATAGCAGGAAAAAAAGAAAATGAAAACAGAATCCAATCTGAAGAGAACATTATATAAAGGCCTACCTTTTAATTAGTTCTTGTTGAAGATGAAGACTCTAAATCCTGAAGTTACTCACATTCTGGTTAGAAAACATTTCAGAGCAAACAAACTGATCAAGTTTTTTTGTCTGCTCAGTAGAGATGGCGACGCATGAAGGGTGGTACCTTTAGATGGAAATCAATACAAAAAAAATCATACTAAATAGAGAAAAGTGGATAGCCAAGATATTTGTGATCAGATTGAAAGCAAGGTTAGTAATGCTTTAGACACATAGATACTATGGAAATATGATTACAGAGAGCTAAATATTTGATACAAAAGTTCAGAGAAAAGGAAGCAAATAAACAATTGGACTTTGTAAACAACAAAATTAAAGTGATGGAATGACAACATGAAGTAAAATCAGTATTCATATTGCACAGATGTCAATACAAAAAAATTTATACTAAATGGAGAAAAGTGGATAGCAAAGATATTTGTGATCATTAACATGTAAAACTATAGTTAATAAAACATATATATTAAACATAAAGAACATAATAGTCTGAGCAATTATACAACTAATTATCTGGGGCAGATTTGATCCTCTTCAGCTGCACGTGAGAGGTGAGCCTATGTCAAAATGGAAAGGGCGTTTGTTATATGTGAATATTGAAAAGTGTAGGAATGAAAAGTATAGGAATAAGTGAATCAAAGAACAGATTCATACCCTTTAATTGCAGTATAATCTAGAAATGTATTATCAATCTTTCTTTTATTCATTCCAATTACAGTAGGTCCATCAACCTGAAGGAATTCATCTTCCTATTTCAAACATAGATAACCTGAAGGTATTCAGCTTCATATTCCAGCTTACAGATTTCCTAACTAAGGATCTCTTCCTCAGATCCTTTTGCTTCATTTTTTGAACTGCATTTGAAAGTTTTTAGTCTTTCCGATATTATTCTCAGACAAATAAATTTGAGATTATTTTCTGATATTAAAAATAATTAAGATTTGCATTTTAGGATTCTGCATGTTGTGTAAAAAAAGAAATTACTTCTTCATATTTATAGCACATGGTGAAGAGACAAAAAGTAAATATGGGTTAGAAAGTGCTGTTAAAGTAATGAACATCTTGTCATCACAATACACAAATTATATCTAGAGAAAAAAACCAATGACAGCTTAGAGTAAAAGGCAAAAAACATGGTTCAAGCATGGTTCAAAATACATGAAAATACAGCACAAAAGAAATATTCTAGTACGCCCTAAATCAAAAATTGTATTTATTCACCACTTGTAATTTTGGTCTTCTCAAATCATAGCCCAAAAGAAAGAATGAAACGTTACTGGCATGGAAAATAAAGTTTTATTTCATTGCAAGAGGCTGAGAAAGAATACTAACTGGCAATAGTGAGATTGACTGAAATGGTGAGTATATTGGCTGGAATAATCTGACAAATAAAAAGAGAGAACATTGTTTATATGGTGACTGGAGAGTAGACTAACTTGAACCTGAACATCTGACAAATTGAAACAGAGTTATTAGCCAAAAAGTTGGGTGAGAGCAAGGGAAATCTAGATAGAGATGAGCAAAGCAATTTCGGATTTATAGCCAGAGTTACTTCATTTTTTTAATTTTCTCTTAGGGCCGTCTGTGGTTCATCTTGTGATGCATAGGTGACAAACCCAAAATCCTTTGATATTTCTGAAGTTCTATTAGTGACTATTTTAACTGAAAACAAAAAATACACACTTTTTTTAGACTGTGGCAGAAGGGCTTCAGTGTGTGTAACAATCAGATCATAGATGAACAGCCATCTCACTAAAATCTGCTAATTAAGATTATTCATATTTTCAGCATCAACCCCAACGCCACTCACGATCATACGAAACAAACAGATCTCCATCGTAACCAAGAAAATCTGGCTGTACACAAAGACCACTCCACGTATGTGTTGTGATGCTTCATTTTAAAAACTGTTACTTAAACAAAGAAATTGGGTGTGCTCAGACAACCAAGGGTTTGTCTTCAAACAAAAGATCAGAAACTGTAGTCCACACTATTGCTTCACCACAGCATACCATATCCACGTAAATGACTTTGGTCAATTGAAATAAACATCTAATATACTACGAAGTATATATGTAAAGGAATCTCCAGGCTATTCAATTGAAAGATCTAATGAAATTAAAAATATACTACGAAGTATACTACCAACTATATCACACAATTCAATTGAAATATCGTACCTTAATGTTCTCACAAAATCCTCTACAGCTCCAAAAAAAACTGAGGGAGCTATGAAGATCTTGGAGATTGAAAGGAATCTCCAGGCAGATGAATCTTGATACTATGATTGAACTGGACAAAGCTTGATACTAAGATTGAACTGGATGAAGCTTTTATGCAAATCCGAAATTGGATGAAGCTTGATACGAAGGCGGGGCAACAAACTCCGGAACTAAAGGCCATCTCTGTGTAGACCTAGCAAATAGAAAATCAGTTAAAAATCAATCCGCACAGTTTCAATCGGCTGAATTTATTAAGGTGCAATACCTAGGCTGAAAAAATTCCACTTTTGGTCCCACGACTATTATACCACTTCCACATTTAGTCCCTTACTTTTAGATTGTCCACATTTAGTCCGTGACCATTATCCCTTCACCACCCCTCGTCCTTCCGGCCAAAATTCCGGCAAATTTAGTCCACTTCTCAACCTCAGAATCAGTCTTTGCATTAAATTTTGTATCAGGTTGGGTTTTTCATACCATTCTTTGCATTAAATTTGGTTTTTCATACCTAAAATCTGCATTAAATTTGCCGGAATTTTGGCCGGAAGGACGAGGGGTGGTGAGGGGATAATGGTCACGGACTAAATGTGGACAATCTGAAAGTAAGGGACTAAATGTGGAAGTGGTATAATAGTCATGAGACCAAAACTGGAATTTTTTCTACCTAGGCTTGAGACTTGATGAATTCGAATTGTGAGAAGAAATCCTGGAAATGGGAGGAGGCATTTCTGGCGTAGAGAAGAGAAAGAGAATGCCTCTCTCCGGATAGGTGTGGTGCGTAAAGCTAGGGTGTGATACGGTGTGGATTGGAAGGGTGAGAAGCCGATAAGGTGAGAAGAAATTCATCGATGGAAATGGGAGGAATAGTTAGTGGCTAAGAGAAGAAAGAGGTGGAAAGTAGATAAAGTGAATTTACGGATCAGGCCTTAGCACTAGCCGGGAGAAATTTCTCTCTCCATTGTAGTACTTTTAGGTATAGGATCAGGTTTTGAGCGTTTATTGTTTTACCATTTTTGTTAATCATCATTCACTTTTCTAGTCGATGATAAACTTTAGTTGATCACTCACATATACGTAGTATATTTTAGTGAAAATTATAAATTTTATACTTTTATTATAATACCTCCATCTCAATGTACTTAGCCATCTTTGACTTTTTCAGTCAAACGTGGTAAACTTTGACAAATTATTTCAACTACTATATTTATGCAAAATTTAATAATTTTATACTTTTATGATACTATTTTAACAAAGAACATTTTCATATCATTTTCATATTATCAGTACTTTCTTTATATAAACATATAATCGGTCAAAGTTAGACGCAATTGACTTGAAAAGTCAAGTTTGATGAGTAAAATGGGACAGAGAGAGTAGTATTTTTAACAAAATATTTTCATATCATTTTCATATTTATATACTTTCTTATATAAAATATATTATCAGTCAAAGTCTAGCATCTTTGATCGAAAAATAAAAAATGACTAACTAAAAATGGGACGAAGGGAGTATATACTCAGTTGCTATACCGTGGGAGCAGCCCACCGTGAACATGCTGCTCCCATCCGAAAAAATTGTGTGTTATTGTTCACGCGCGTGAATAGTAACTTTTTTTTTTGTTTTCTCACTGTCCAGGAGCAGAATCATGTAACTCGCGTGTAAAGAAATGTAACTCACGTTATTGATCAATGTAACTCAAGTCCATTCGAAATGTAACTTGTCAAATACAGAGTATAAGAAATAAAATATTGTTTTCAATGTAAACAATGAAAAAAGAGTTTAATTGCACAATTGCTTTAGATAAATCGTAAATATGTTTTGTTTTTAGTATCATGACCATAACAAATGATTATAAAAATCATTTTTTTTGTTCCAATAGCAGAGGTTGATTTTTTTTATGTTACTCATGTTATTACAAATGTAACTCATGTTAATGAGCAATGTAACTGAAGACGAATCCAAATGTAACTTGTCCAATAATGAAAACAAAACATTATTCCCAATGTAAACAATGAAAAAAAGAGTCTAATTGCTCAATTATTTTAGATAAATAGTAAATATGTTTTGTTTTTAATATCACGAACATAAAAATTGATTTAATTTTTTTTCTATAGTAGGAGTTTATTTTTGTGACTCATGTAAATTGATGTAACTCATGTAATGACAAATGTAGCTTGCATTGACGTAAAATGTTACTTAAGTGAATGTAAATTGTAACTTGTTGAGATAAGTCTAAATGTAACTGGTGAATAAAAAGATGCAACTTAAGATGTAAATGGTGTATTAAAGGATGTAACTCCATTTTATACGTAAAACCCAACTGATGGAATTTAATCCAACTACGAGAGCTAAATATACGTAGAGTATAGAAATAATATCGAAAATAATATGGCAGCGTAAGGCACTATTACTCTTATTCCAGCAATCGAATTCCCGATCCCTTGGTAGGGTGTTTACATGAAGTATTTATAGAGATTAGGAGGTAGAATTATGGGAGGAATCTAATACAATAAATGCTTAATTAATTAACTATATTCTTTCTCGAAATAGATCCCCTTTTCGTGCTTCATCCTCACGCAATAATCATCTCCTAATTCCGGTCGAGTCCTGTCTGTTGCCAAATATCTATATTTGAATGATAGCTTGCCACGTAGGCCCTAGGGATATCCCGACCTCACCAGAACTCCGCCCAGGCTCGAGATCTGCTGTCCAGCCCGACCTGACTGTGGGTTCCTATCGTGGGCCTGATTCCCAATGGGCCAAGCGGCTTGTTTAATATAAATCCCGTTTATGGGCTAATCCTGTTAATTAGGCTAATCCCGTCAAGGGCTGATCCCGTTTATGGGCTAATCCTGTTAATTAGACTAATCCCGTCAAGGGCTGATCCCGTTTATGGGCTGGGTTACGTAATTGGGCCATGGCTAGAAACCATGGTACCATCATGAGCCCCCCTAATCAATCAAAGTTTACTTGGTGCTTCACTGCTATTCACTTGATGCATTACTGTTATTTATTTCAATCACACCAACTCATTTGGAAAAAGAGGAGGAGAAAAAAATATCTTTTTTAAGGTGCTTTAACTTTTTTTGTAATCCAATTTTTATAAAAAATGTGTCAAAAATCATAACATTTTTATAATTTTTTACATGACACCAATATTGCATATATAAAATTATAAAATGTTATTTTTTATATAATAAAACCGAATTGTAAATCAATGATGTGTCAGTCTCTTATTGGTTAATAAAAATTTTGTTATCACTACTATTAAATCAAGTGGGTTCCTACCAAGTATGAATTAAACCTCTCAATAGTTAAATTTTTTATCGAACTTCACATAAAATATACTTCGTATGTTTCAACATTTTATTTGAATATTTATGATAGAAATAATTATTATTCTGCAATGGTTGTAATTTTTTTAATTGTAATTATAATAACTTTGGTAGAAAAAGAACAATATCAAAGATAATGAAAGTCAAAATTATATATTTGTGTATTAGCCTGCGGGCCAACCCGCAACCCGTGTGGACCAACCACTTAAACCCGCTACCCGTGTGTGTTGATCCACGAAACCCGCGAATTAAATAAGTCACAAACTCACAACCCTAACACACCAATAAATGGTTTTTATCGGGTCAACCCGCAGGTTTCGGTTCATTTTGATGGCTCTACCTGTCAACACTCAAATCATTTGTAGTAAATAAAATGGGTATATTCAGAAATTACATTAAAAGTTTTACAAGATGCAAAATAATAAATCAATTTTCATAAAAGCTGAATATATAAAAATAATACGGAGAATATTTCCCGCTGCAATTGAAATGAGGAAATTGAGTATTAGTAGTCGTAGAGGTATGACCAATTTTGGTCATCAAATCATTTTGTGTAATGTGTATGTGGGTCTCATCTTTATGTGCGCGTGCATATTCATGCGCGTGCATCTTACTCTTTTCATTCTTCTGAGGATGTTCTTTATGAGCTTCATCACTCTTGGATGGAATTGGGGCAGTCACTGTCACCGGTTCTTCTTCTCTAGTCTCCTAGGAGTCCAGGCCTTAAGATGTTGCTGATCATCTTTTTGTTGATGCAGTGGCGGAGTATTGACTTCTGGAAGTGTTCTCCCTCTTCATAGCGTAACAGCCTGCACTTGCTCTCTTGGGTTGGGTTCTGTTCAAACATATGGAAATATAATTCACAAATAATGGCCTCACCTCATAGGGTGTCCACATGTGTATATTTATAATAAGCAATAGAAAGGGGAAATTACAAATATGTCATCTATTATATATTATTACACCCCCTCAATCTGTGCAGGGGAAACAACGCGCAGATTGGCACGTAAAAATTCAAACCGCTGACTAGATAAGCTTTTTGTAAAAATATCTGCCAACTGCAATTGTGTAGGAACATATTTGACCACAAGATCTCCATGAGCAACACGTTCTCTGACAAAATGGTAGTCAATCTTGATATGCTTACTACGATCATGTTGTATAGGGTTAATGGCAAGATAAGAAGCCGAGACATTATCACACCGGAGTTGCACAGGGGCCGAAATGGTAATGCCCATATCTGTCAACAAGGATCGAATGAAGAGAGTATCCTGAACCGTATACGCTATAGCACGGTATTCAGCTTCAGTGGATGACTTTGACACGGTAGGTTGTTTCTTGGACCTCCAAGAAATTAAATTACTACCCAAAAAGACGGCATAACCTGTGGTAGAGCGGCTACTATCCGGACAACCAGCCCAATCCGCATCAGAATAGGCAACAATGAGAGAGATATCGGGATTGGACTGAAGCCATAGGCCATGATCTACTGAGCCCTGCAAATATCTGTAAATACGCTTCACAGCCAAAAGGTGAGTAGTACGAGGAGCATGCATGAACTGAGAGACCAAATGCACAGCATAAGTAATATCAGGTCTAGTCAAAATCAAATACTGTAATGCACCTACCATACTACGATACTCAGTAGCATCGGTGAGAAGTTCACCATCAGTCAGAGAAAGGGTGGTTCGTGACGGTAAAGGAGTACGAACGGGTTTCACTGTGTGAAGATGAAATCGTCGTAACAAGTCGGAGATATATTTTTGCTGAGAAATAAATAATCCCTTAGGTGTACGACGAGTCTGAAGACCCAAGAAAAAATGTATATCGCCTAAATCTTTCATGGCAAACTGTGTGGATAAGGACTGAATAATGTGACGAACAAATGATATAGAAGAACCAGTAATTAAAATATCGTCCACATACAAAAGAACGTATACTACCTCAGAACCACGACGAAACACAAACATGGATGAATCAGATTTACTCTGAGAAAAACCATGTGTGAGAAGAAACCCACTGAATCGATGGAACCAGGCACGAGGAGCCTGTTTGAGCCCATATAACGCCTTTTTGAGGCGACAAACATGATTAGGGAAAGAAGGATGGATAAAACCTTGAGGTTGACGCATATACACTTCCTCTGTGAAATGTCCATGAAGAAATGCATTTTTGACATCAAGCTGGCGAATACACCAACCAAGAGAAACAGCGATGGACAGAACAAGACGAACAGTGGTAGGTTTAACAACGGGACTAAAGGTTTCAGTGAAATCTATACCTGCCTGTTGCTTGAACCCTTGAGCAACCAAACGCGCTTTGTGGCGCTCAACAGAACCATCAGAATTATATTTAGTCTTGTAAACCCACTTACAACCAACTACATTTTTAGTGCAGTCATAAGGTACTAATTCCCAAGTCTGATTTGCTAGTAACGCATTAAATTCATCAGCCATGGCATCCCGCCATACAGAAAATTTTTGTGCCTGAGAATAACATGTCGGATCATCCGGTGGTGCAAGAACACTTAAATTAAAAATGGTCTTAGGTTTAAAAATCCCATCTTTAGAGCGGGTCTGCATGGGGTGAATATTAGCAACCGGGCTAGGTGACGGGCTGATGGATGAACTGTTGTAAGGCGGACTGTCCACCGAGGACAAACTGCCATTTGATGAACTGCCAGGCGAGGTGGGGGATGCTGGTGGAGTATTGTGTGGGGTTTGTGGTGGAGTATTATTATGGGATGCGGGTGGAGTATTGTGTGGGGTTTGTGGTGTAGTATTATTATGGAAAGAGGGAGCATACGTAGTGGGTAATACGGGTGACATGATGCATGGTTGTGATGGATTGTCTGAGGTAGGAGCTGTGGGATTAGCTGGAGAAATGGTGGGAACCGGTGGTGAGGATAATTGAGGGGACCGTATACATGTGATTGGCCAGGAGGTTGATAGAGGAGACATGGTAGGTGGACAACGGACCAGGTGAGGATATGGGAAATTGTGTTCATGGAACTGGACATCTCGGCTAATATAAACTCTACCAGTTAAAGGATCTAAGCAACGATACCCTTTATAGCCCGGAGCATACCCAATAAACACACAACAAATGGAGCGCGGTGAGAGCTTATTTGAAGACTTGGCAATGAAATTTGGAAAACAAGCACACCCGAAAACACGTAAAAAATTAAAATCAGGAACTTTATTAAAAATCATCTCAAAGGGAGTTAAATTTTTCAAAAGTGGTGTAGGAAGGCGATTGACAATATAAGTAGCTGTGTAAAGAGCATCAACCCAAAAACTAGGAGGAAGCGAAGATTCAATTAACATTGTCCTAGTTAATTCAAGTAAATGACGATGTTTTCGTTCTGCTACGCCGTTCTGAGCGGGAGTATCAGGACATGATTTTCTGAATAAAATACCTGTTTTTAAAAAATGATTGTGAAACATAATATTGTCAAATTCACCACCACCATCACTTTGAAAAAATTTAATTTTTCTACTCAAGAGATTTTCAACAAGAGTTTGAAAATTACAAAAATGGTGAAAAACTTCTGATTTGCGGCGCATAGGATATATCCAAGTATAACGTGAAAAATCGTCAATAAAAGAGACATAATATTTAAACCCAAGATTGGATAAAACAGGCGACTGCCAAACATCTGAATGAATAAGCTCCAAAGGAGCAGCACACGAATGAATAACATCCTGAAAAGGTAGTCTGTGGGATTTACCCAACTTACAAGAAACACAATCATGATGAAAATTACTAGAAGCAGAAATAAAATGTTTTTGCCGAAGTGTAGTTAAAACTCTATCACCACAATGCCCCAAACGTTTGTGCCATGTTGGTCCAGGAAGTAGAGTAGTCTGAAGAGCATGAAAAGGGTAAAGATGGTCTTTATTGGAAGCCTGAAGAAGATGCACCCCCGTCTGATTGTCCTTAATAAAAAAGGAATTTTTATTAAAAATCACCGTACAATCATTATCCGCACATAATTTATGAATAGATAATAAATTATATTTAAGATGTGGGACATGATAAACGGAGTTTAATGTAAGGGGACGGCCAGATGTATTAATTTTAACGTTACCAACATGAGAGATAGGTAATTTAGTACCGTTAGCAACTTGCACATTATTAGAGCCAGTATAAGGAGATTTACAAGATAAAATACCTTCGTGTGGGGTCATGTGAGCAGAGGCACCTGAGTCAGGATACCACACAGAGGCATTTGTCTCACCCGAGGGAATAGCAGCTAGAGCAGGCGTAGAGGACCCAGTGAACCGAGGACATGTAAGGGCAGAATGACCTGGTGAAAAACAAATTTGGCAAACAACTGGATGTGGTGGATTGGAAAAATGATTGTCCATTGATGGAAAACCTGCACAATTACTATGAGTACCGCAAGAAGATAAATGATTAAAGTATGAATAACCAGACCAAGAATTACTCATAAGTGCACCTGAGTGTGCAGCCTGAACTGGTCCACGTGGAGGTCCATAAGACTGCTGGCCGTATGTAACCTGCTGGCCGTGAGCAGCTTGCACCTGGGGCGGAAAAGCTGGGCCATAGTGACGCTGAAAATTACCAAATTGATGCTGAAATTGACCACGACCCCTCCCCCTCTGGCCGCGACCCCGGCCAGCTCGTTGGCCGCGGTATCCTTGCTGTCGGCCTCCTCCCTGTCCGCGAGTTCCACCACGATCCGCAGGTTCATTACGTGCAACAAACGCTTGATGAGTTGGGGGAAGTTCCTGGGAGCGGAGATAAATAACTCGTTGTTCGTGTGCTAGCAAGATCGGACGTAAATTCTCAAGCGTGGCACCACCGGGAAAGTAAGAAACAGCCGTGATCAAGGATTCATATTCGGGACCAAGGCCCGAAATAGTATACTCAATCAAATCTTTATTAGTAACAGGAGAATTAATCAAATTTAAGTTATCTGCCATAACCTTAATCTCCAACAAATATTGTTCCATAGTTTGATTTTCTTTCTTTTTAACATGCGAGAGTTGTCGTTTGAGCTCCATGGACCGAGCCAAACAAGCTGACACGAACCTCGCCCTAAGACATTCCCATACAAGGGCAGAAACTTTAAGGTGATGAACTTCCATTAGAATGTCACGGGACAAAGTGGCGAAGATCCATGAACGAATGGTTTGGTCGATTTTCAACCAATGATGATACTCCGGATTAGGAGTTTCCCGTCCAAAAGTATCACGAATAAACGGTGTTGGAGCCAAGATGGACCCATCTAGCATCCCAAAAAGATTATGGGAAACTAGGAAAGACTCGAATTGGGTACTCCACGGAAGAAAATCCTCAACGACATTCAATCTAGTAGTAACTATATTGGTCACATTAGGTGTAGAAAACGCTAATTGTGAAGTCAAAGATGCCAAAAGAGTAGAAGAAGTGGTAGAACCTGGCAGCTGGACTAGTGGTGGAGGCGGAAAAGAGACCATACCAGGCTGCCCGGACACGTCGATGCTTGAGGATGACGCGGCATGAGGATGGATAGACGTGGAAAACATGATTGCAGGGGACGTGGAGAACTGCGCGGCCGAAGATGGCGCTCTATACCCGGTAGATGCGGGGTTCCACGAGAAGGGTTCCGGCATATTGAATAAACGATATGATCCCAATGGAGGCGGAATATTGAAGCCTGCTTGCCGAGAAACGGACGATGAGGCTGGAGAGGATACCGAAACTGAAGAAGGCTGCACCGGAGACATGGGCGCCAAAGTTGTTGTAATTGTAGGCGAGGAGAAGGCAGGCGCTGTAGAAGTTGCGGCTGAGGAAGACGAGGCCATGAGAGACGTAAGGAAGATGTTGTGCGGCTATGTGAACGAGAGATAACGAGTTCTCTGATACCATATGGAAATATAATTCACAAATAATGGCCTCACCTCATAGGGTGTCCACATGTGTATATTTATAATAAGCAATAGAAAGGGGAAATTACAAATATGTCATCTATTATATATTATTAAAACATACAATTTTTACTTTATTAATCTACGTGCCGGTCAAACTTGACAAAGTTTTAGGGACGGAGGGAATAATTTATTTTATGCACATCAAATAGAGATCAGTTTGAAAAATTGCTTAAAGCATTTTTCTATAAATATTAATGGCAGTTTATTAGCATTTAAGTCATTCTCTTTGTTTTTCAATTGTTCACATTTAAGAATGCTAAAATTGATAAATTAAACGGTGTTGCGGCTTGGGCTGGGGAGGGGGCGGATGTAGTGTTGTTGTTGGCGTCGGGGCGAAAACTTTTGTGTGGTCACATTGACATTTTTCACGCCAACAGTGACATCTAATAGTGACATTAAAATATGTAAGTGACAATACTCATTTACATGGAAAATTCACAGTGACATATTTTTTTAGAGTGATATTATGTTTTTTTTTAAAAAGATGACATTAATCATATTTTTGTCAATATTTAAAAGTAATGACATATTGTTAAAATTGGCTTCAATTTAATACTACCTTTGTTCCCCTATGTTTGGGACAACGGGTGTAGTGTGGTTTTTATAAAAGTAGAATTGTGTGGTTAGTATTGATCGAATTGATAAAGTGTGAATAAAGTGAGAATGAATTCTAACCACTCAAATATCATCAAATATGGTATGAGACAAATTTAATGGGACGGACAAAAATAATAAAACGGGACAAAATTAGGGGGCGGAGGGAGTAATATTTAGGAAAAACCCTTATTATAAAATCTTAATTTGACGATTATGTTGGGTTAGCATTGCTTTTTCTAGTTGCATCTATTTATGTTAAGAGTGTCTTTTTTTTTTCATGAATTTTTTCGAGACCGATTGACATAATATCATGATATGTAGCAGATTTGTAACATTCCTGTAAATATTGAAATTGAACAGAGAATGTAGTTATATGTTTTTTTTTACTTCTTCCTAGAATTTGTGTTCAAATGTTAACACATTTTGCAATGTTTTAATTGTTACTATAATGACTATTGTCAATTGTCAATTTTGCATTTTTTAGTATAAATACGAGCAAGAAGTAAAAAAACATTTTATGCATGACTTCAATATTTATAATTATGGTAAAATTGTTGCCCAAAAAAATTAGGGTAAATTGCACCAAATCCCCTTAGGTAATTAAAAACATGAACATTATCCCCTGTGTTATTGAAAAAGCATGAAATCCCCTTCAATTTTGATTAATCATGCTCACATTCCATGTATGTAGATAAAAATTTAACCGGTGTTTCAACTTTTTGAATTTCCATTTATACCCCTTTTAATTATTCCAACACTACACCACGAGCTTACACCATGGATTAACCTACCCAAACCATTCAACCATCCAAAGAGCCATCGTCAACAACACGAAATGAGGCTACATTATCTTTTTCATTTCCCTGTTTTGTACTTATTCTTCAACTCCACAGGCTACGTAATCTATGGGAAGGTAAACTCAAAGGAGCTTGCGACTAATTCCAATATTTACTGGTAACCTACGGGTATGCTTACACAATTATTGAATCTTACGGATTTAGCACAACTACGTATGTGCATTACTAATTCTTTGTGCCGCTCCTAGTCTAAAAAGTCCCGTGGTTTTCTCCTTTTCGGGTTTTCACGTAAAAACAGTTGTTCATACACATTTATACATATATTTACTATATCGTGTTGGGTTAAACTCAACACTGGCGCCGTATGTGGGAAACTGTCTCAAAAAGATTCGTGTGTTCTATCGTTCTTGAGTTTTCTACAAAAAATCCATACGAAGTGGTCTGATTTCAACAAAAAAGAGGAAGGAGTTGGATGAAGAATCTGGAATTTTGGATCTAGGATCATCCAGATCTGGGAGGAAGCCGTCGAAGTCGTTCCATGCTGTATTTTGTGCACCCAGGAGCTGAAGCTTCATTAATGTAAAGCAAGTATGCTGGCAGATCCATTTTTGAGTAAATTATGGACAACCAACCACATCTTGATAGCACGTGGCATGGCAGAAGTACATAGGTAGTAGATTATAAGTGGGCTCATGGTTGACTTTCTTTTCCAAAAACTGTTGATGTAAATTACTCTTCAGCCGCGCGGTCTACGGGTCTAGGAACTCGAAGGGAAACGCCCGGCTAGACATTACCACATACTTGTATTTTTAATAATCTTATTACAAGTTGTTTGGGAGACGCTCGTCCATTTGCTTGGCCGTCGTTGAAGGTCCTTCCATGCTGCCATCCACTAGGAGATGCGGTCATCGGAGCTCCACGAACTTCCTAAATCAACTGGACGACCATCTTCTAACGGGAACAACGAAATTGTTTCACAATCAGGGATCAAAATAAATGAAACTCAACTGGCCGCTCGTCCCCAGGAGCAGCTCCGATCCAGATCAGACGTCCAGGGAAGCTCGCCCAAGAATCGGAGTTACCTCAGTTCAGACCCATGCTCGCTCACCTCGCAACCATTGGCAGACCTTCACCGGACCGATGGCAATTCACCGCTAGGCCTACTGTTGTCGCGCGGTTTTTTATGCGGACTGCAGGTTTCTTGAGGTCGTGGACGTGCGTCCCCTCCATTGTTAACCTGCGGCAATAATGGTAAAGGCCAATAGGGATTGGTTTTGGGCAAATGGGCCGGACGTCCTCAGCTCCCAATAGATTCCTTGATGGGCCAAATTTCAACAACCTGCACAATTGGTTCATAAAAGCTAAGTACCTATACTTTTAAACTGGTACATTAATTGTTACTCATAGTTTAAAATATTAGTATTGCTAGTATTTTTTATCACCATTATTTTATAGGGATTAAAATGTCTCGAAATAAATAATGTCGAGCGAAGCTCGGGGATGAGCTTCCACTGCCACAATGACTAGATGACGGACCGAGTCGAGAGTCATCGCACCCCGAGGCCGACAATCACATCCGGAAGAGCCCCAAACTGACTCACAAGCAAAAAAAAGTGTACACATATACATGTTGTCTGGCCATTTGGCTGCATTACTATGTTCACTGTGCCGTCTGTGCAGATAAAGATAATAATCAGGACGACCGATAACAGATGATGCTAAAAAAGAACCTTGGCGCCAAGAGCTTGGAGACGAACATCTTCCACCCCAAGAGCCAAGGGCCGTGGACGATCATCTCCTCCTCAGAGGCCGAGCGTCTAAAGAAGACCATCAAAGGCCAAGGGCTTGGAGACAAACATCTTCCACCCCAAGAGCCAAGGGCCGTGGACGCGCATCTTTCATCCCGGATGCCGAGGGCCTGAAGACGATCATCTATCGTCAAGTGGCCTAGGCCCGGGGACGAGCATCTTCCACCCGGAGGCCGAGGATCTAAAGAAGACCATCAAGAGCCAAGGGTCGTGGACGAGCATCTTTCA